TGGATTGAAGGAGACTGGACTTAACCCAAAAAACCACTTAATATGAGTGTTCGAACTGGACCATGACATAATGCACCAAACCCTGACGTGTGTTATGTAATCCTTGGCAGCTGTGAAATTTTAATTAATTTAAATTACGTTTCCCTTTCGATGAAGTGCTGCTGCTGAGCCTGTTGGCCTCCACAGAAGCCGCCCTGCCCTTTAAAAAGGTGTCCATTGCCAAGACTCCCGCCTCCACGAGCAGCACCACCAGCACGACGACGGAATCCACGGCCGTCGAGGAGGAGGAAGTCGAAGAGGAGCAGCCGGTGCCCAGCGGGGATGGTGGCGACAGTAGCAAGGTGAGCTAATGGACTTCGGAAGGCATTTCAATGTGTAACTCATTCGTTATTACCTTCAATTTAGTCGGACAACGGCACTCTGTCGAAGAACTCCAAGCTCACGGGCATCCCACAGATCGATTACATCTGGGATCCCAATCTGCCCAGGGAACTGAGAGGGTAAGCTCCACTGAAAAATAAAAATGTTATTTTTAATATCAACATAAACAAAAGATTTCTATATTTACTATTACTCCAAAAATCAGGCTTCTTATTTATGACTTAGAACTTATTATAAGTACCTAATTTTTAATTTAACAATTTTGAGAAAGCTTATGATTTTGAATGACATACTTAACAGCAGTATAATTATAACACAAAATACAAATCTAATTGAATAAATCAATTCTCTATAAGAATATTAGACATCTATCTTATTATATTTAGATAATTTAAAAAAGAAATTAATTTCTTAAAATTACTTTTCACAGTGAAAATCAGGGATTCTTTTTTATTATTAGTTAAAAGTGGTTTTTGATTTATTAAATACCTGTTTAAAATATCTATTTTGTATCATACACAGCTATGATTTTCATTAAAACAGTTAAAAGATGTTTGATTCTTATATAAAATACAATCTTTGAAATCTTTAAATACATGTTTAAATTAAATGTTATTTAACTTTTGCTTTATAGAGGACTTAAACATTAATATATATTTTTTATCCTCCTATACAGCTACAACCTGTCGACCTATCCCTTCCTGTCCACCGTGCCGCCCATGGATGAGATCCACTTCAAGTGTGAGGGGCTGCACGACGGCTTCTATGCCTCCATCGAGTACAAATGTCAGGTGAGTGTAGTTAAGTGAGTGAGCCGGCGTGACCTTGTCTGGCCAATGGTAGACGTAACATAATTGGCCAGCAAGCCCAAACAAACCAGGCCCAACCCATACGAACCCTCTGTGCATGTCCAGCAATTTCTCTTTTTCCACTGGCGACGTGACGCCAAAAACTAAAACTTGTTTGCTCCTCGATCTTGACCTCAAAAGCGGGCAAAAAGAAGCGCTTAGCGATGGCTAACAGAGCGGATTAGTTATGGCCGAATGTGATTAACCAGAGTTGGACCCGTTGCAGATCTACCACCACTGCGTCTATGGTATAAGACACGACTTTCTGTGCGCCAACTTCACGGCCTTCGACCAGCGCACCTTCATCTGCCACTTTGCATCCGATGTGGACTGCGAGGGATCCCAGAAATACTGGAACAGGTGAGAAAGTCAAAGTCACTATTGCTTTTGCAGCTTAATTTTAATTTTAAAATAAGTAAGACAAGATCCTAATTGCCTAATTTAAGTTTAAAGTCAAAAGTGGATCTAACCAAGCTACAGGTTAAATTTAAGGCAAATGTTTTTTTTTATTTGTAAACAAAATAGTATTTTATACACAATTCAAAAATTTATTAGACTTTTTGTAAATTCAATATTACAAAATTTGAATAACTTGGAAAACATAACAATTATTCTCAAAGATATTATATTTGCCTAAATTTATTAGGTCTTATTAATTCTGCTTTATTTCTCGCAGTAAGGATAACTTAATGACGAAAGCCTGGGGATTATTTGTTTTAAATAAGAATTATTCTTAATAGATAACAAAACCAAACACTTTGTAATAAGATTTAAATTAAATTTGTACCAAACATCCATTTCTACCCGCGCAGGAACGATGAGCTCTATATGGCCACCACAACCACGTCGACGAGTACCACCACAACGCCGGCGCCACCCACCCAAGCGCCACCACCCCGCCGTCGTCCGCAAAGACCACAACGTCCGCTGAGAAGACCCTACAACCGGCGACCCATCGACGACTACTACTACGAGGATCAGGATCAGTACGAGGACGACTACTATGAGGAGCGTCCGGTGAGGCGACCCAAGCCCAGACCTCGTCAAAGGAAGCCCCAGGTGGAGCTGGACTACGACGATGAGTACGATGAGAAGCGGGCGGCGGCCAAGAAACCCAACAGGCGCAATAGGAATCGCTACCGCGACGAGGAAGAGATCCAGGAGGAGGACTACGACGAGCGGCCCGCTAAGAGGGGCAGGGGAAAACCCACCGCCGGACCTGCGGGTCGAAAGGTATCGGCAGCCCGGAAACCAGGTCGCGTGGAGGAACGACGCAGCTTCAACGAAGATCGCCCGTTTGGCAGGAAGAGGACCACTCCCTCATCCGCTCTAGATGACCTCGATGAGTACGAGAAGCCCTACGGCGGTGTGGACCAGGAGGAGGCGGCCGAGGAGCAAACGCCGCAGAAGGTGAAGACCACCGCGAAGCCACTGACCGAGTTCATCACCCCCAAGGCGGCAGCTGCATCCGTCTATGCCCGTCCTCGAGCTCCACCGCGGATAGCCCCACCGGTGCCCATCAACGAGAAGAAAAAGTTCTCCTATCCGGTGCAAAAGATCACGGCCACCACACAGCCACCCTCGAATAGTGCCCAGGAGCAGGAGGAGGAGGAGGAGGACTACCCCGAGGAGCAGGTGGAGGAGGACTATGAGCAGCCTCCGGTTAGGAACACGCCACGCAGACGTACACCATTGGCTGCTCGCGTGGAGCAGAAGCCGACGAGAACTGTGCTGAGGAAACCGGTGACGGACAAGAAACCCCTTGACGAGGAGTACTACGAGCCGGCGGAGCAGGAATCATTGAGTAAACGCAAGCGACCACTGGCACCCAGATCCCGTGCCCCAGCCCCAGCCGCCGCCGCCGCCGATGTGGACTTCGAGGATGAGGATTACGGGGAGAGTCCGGCTGTGCCCGTTGAGAAGCCCACAGCGGCTCCTTTGAGAAACCAGAGACTGAGAACGAAGCCGACCACCAGCACCAGCACTACGACCACCAGAAAGCCAGCAGTGCCGCCACGTCCGCGCCAGCCCATAGTGGAGCACGTGGACGAGGAGGATGAGGAGCTACAGCATGCAGTGGAGCCAGCCGTCGAGGAGGAGGCACCGGTGCCCAGGACGAGAGCCAATCAGTTGAGCGGACGGAATGCAGCGGGCATCTCTCAACGCCCCTCATCGGTACGTGTGGTCAAGCGACCCTTCCTGCCCTCCAGGGGCGGCAGTCCGTATCTGCCGCGAGGCCTTCAGCCGGTGGGCGTGGCCCTGCGACCACTGCCCACCACCGATAGCACGCCCATCGACATGGGCTCCACCATTTCGGGTGTGCGTCTGCTCGAGCATGGGGCTCCTCTGCTGCGTGGCAGCCCCGATAGCCTGGAGGATAATGACGAGGCGGAGGATGCTCCTCCATCGCCCAGTCCACCCAGGACGACACTGCCACCGCGCAGTGCTCTGCCCACCACGTCCAAGCGGGTGGAGCAGCAGCGTCCCAAACTGAATCTCGACGAGCTCTACGAGAACGACTATGATGTGACACTGAACGATGCCCTCGATCCCACGCTGAAACCGCTCTCGCCCCAGCATTCGCATCCACATACGCATCAGCTTTCATACCAACAGCAGCATCAGCAGCAGCAGCAGCAGCAATCCCAGCGGCAATATGCCAGCGCCTATAATCCATTTGCCTATCAGCCAGCGTTTCAATCACCAACATCCGCTTCAGCATCAGCATCCGCATCCGCATCAGCATCCGCATCCGCATTAGCAGCGCAGTCGCCAGCAGCGAACTATCATAGTGATTCCTATTTCTCGTCGACAGATATACGCCGGCGGGCTATTGTCCCGGCGCAAGCCGCGCGTCCACATCGACTCGAATACGCTGCTGCCGGAGGAGCAGCAGCCGGTGGCGGATCATCCGGCGGAGGAGTGAGCCGGAGCAGGAGCCACCAGGCAGCGGTGGGCGGACGGATTGCCCAGCATTTCTACGACGACTTTGCCTACTGAAAAGTACGCTTGTAATAAGGTTAGTTGCACTTCAATCGCAATGGCTTAAGATCCTAAATATCTAGTTTTTCTTACAGTTTCTTCAGCTGTAAATAAGTTTCCACCCCCCACACACACACACACACACACAAGGAGAGTTCCAATTTGGTGCACGGCTCCAACTTCTTAAACAAATCTGTCTCTACCTTAGATGTTTAGCCGCAAAAACCTACTCGTAATTCAAAAAGGTTTGGGACATATTAAGCACTAGCAGCTGAAAAACAACATGAGCGATACAAAAAAATACCCTCTTTATGATTGCAAAAGCTTATATTTTAGTTAAATTCAGTAATATTTCAACCACATTTTTAGGGAATTCTTGCAAATTAACCTTTTTAATCGCTTGTGCTACTTTTCCCCTGAGAGCTCTGTGTGTCCTGAACCCCCTTACTTATATATACGTTGTATAATACTCAAATGTCGTGATAGTAGCAGCTTGCGAATTTGTCTGCTAGCTCGTCTCTAGTAGTTTATAAACAAAAAACTAACTCCCTCCTATACTTGTTTATCTCCGCTTGAACAGAAATCAAAACACGAATCATCCAGCAGAACACAAATAATCGAAACAGTAGTGTACATTTAAAGAGAGAGCGAATACTTGATGTGTTAATTTAAAATTGTCTGTAATATTTAAGCATTGTCGGAGATCGTGTTCGTTGCGGAGTGTCCAGATCCAAGACTTAAGTCGGAGTGCATAACAATCAAAAAACAAAAACTGAAATAAATTTAAAACTTACTTAAACTAGTGTTTTACTGCTACTCTTTGCGAGAGGATTTCAGGCACATTTTCAGGTTCTCCGTTTCCTCCTCCAGATGGTCAAGTTTTTTCATTAAAATGATCTGTAAAGTATATGGTATTAGAGGAATAATTGGGATAAGAATAAGAGCAGATCCATACCTTGGCTGCCGACACGATTTCCGTGGCCACTCTGAGCGGCATATGCTCCAAGGATTGCACTAAGAGCATGGGCCTTACTTTGGCTATATCTTCGATGGTCCTAAATCCAGCTGCATAAAGTTGCTTGGCGCGATTCTGAAAGATAAAAAGAATAATACTTAATTATAAATAATAATAAATGTTGGAAAAGGTAGAACACTTAACGACCTAGCTAAGCTACAATATATTTGCGAGAAGAAGTTCCTAGGTAAGTGGATAGGTACATTAATGTTATAGTATCTGGGTAAGGTCAAGTTCCGTTTTTTACATAAATATTCTTTGATTTATTTTCTATTGGAATAGATTTCTTCCCAATTTTTATTGAATTGAATTTTTCTTAAAGACATTGTCAACTATACATACTATAGAAACATTTTAAAATAAACGATTTCCTATTTGCATATATATAATCAAAAAATTAAAATAGATAGCATTATTTAAGTACCTGTAAATATCAACCTTTTCAACTTGTTATACACAAATCAAAAACTAGGTACTAGGTTTTGAATACCTTTGTTTACCATTTTATCTAGGTACATGGCTAGGAATAAGTATCTAGGCACTACCCAACTACAGGTAATACGATCTTATTTTATGCAGTTTACATTATTATTCTTTTTTTATGAAAACCAAACACTAGGTACCTAGCCAAGGTAAAAATTTGTATTTAGGTACACGGCTAGGAATAAGCATCTAGGTACTGGAAAGTACTTTGGCAGGTAATACGAAATTATTTATTTATTCTTGACTACTCACAATTTTAACGGCTGGCAGTTCCATCAGCGGCTCAAGCTCAAACGTGCCACAGCGATCCATTTTGTGTAGGATCCGTTCGAAGAGGGGTTTGTAGCACCAGAACTCCTCCAGCTCCTCGCACAGTCGAACAATGGCACTGGCGGCGGCTACGGATTGGCTGATCAGGTGCTGCAGAGTTCCCCGCTCGACATTGTACTTGGTGGCCACCGCGGGCAGCGGCAGAAGGTCCAGGATGTCCGCCAGGATCAGCACCTTGTACAGGCGGTTTAGCTGTAGGCTCAAGGGACCCTGGACCGAGTGCGTCTTGAACAGTCTGGCTGCATGGGCTTCCGTGAAGCCCAGTTGCTTGAACAAAGCCTGCGAGTCCGGCCGTAGCGAGGTGTAAACTCCGACAAGTATGCTGGCATCGGCCGGAAACAATTCATCGCCCTTGTCATTCGAATTGAAGGACACGACCAGGTACAGCAAGTGCAAGTAGTTGGTCAGGATGAGCTGCTGCTGGGCCTGCCTCAACTCCCTGTGGATGGCATTGGCCCGCTTGTAATCGATGCCCGCCTTGAAGGCAGCCCTTCCAATGTGGGTCAACTTGAATGGGGTGGACTGACCGATTAGCAAACGCCTCTCGCCCGCCGCTCGATTGCTGGTCTGATTCACGTCCTGCGTGGTTATAATCTCCGAAGAATTTATCCTGGACTTGGCCTGCGGTTCGGTCACCTGCAGAACTTTGTTTTTGAACATCTCGCGAAGAATGCGGAGCACTATGTCGTCCACGGCGACCTCCAGGGCGCTGGCCTGCACCGCGAGGAGGGTGCTGTTCACCAGCCGATTCAAATCCCGACGACATTCTGCCAGGTTCAGGCCAATCACGCTCAGGATGAGCGACTGAAAGAATCATTATATTTCGGATTACTTGCAACGCTATGTATTAGAACAAAAATTACAATTTAACCAAAAACTTTCATCAATCCCAAGTTATTTCCTCTTAAATCGCAGTTGCATTTTTCCACCACTCTTTTTTGCTTAATTTTGGTATTTATATTTAAACTACATATTTTCTATTCATTCAAGGAGAAAACACGTCGTTTCCGTACTGCAACGGATGCAGATTAGTTGTAGTCGTTGTAGTTATGTCGAACACAATAGCATCCCACACAAATATTTTGTATTTGCAGATAACTGAACCGAATCGCAAGCACTTCCTGCTCAAATAGATTTTTGCAACTTATCAATAACCCGGAATGACAAGCATTTTTTACTTGAATCAACTTCAATTTTCATTCCGTCAAACTTGAAATAAAATCGATGCCTAGTGAATTCAAAATTTAAATGGGAATCCCTAAGTAGTAATTTAAAATATTTTACCATTATAAAGAGGATTTATTTAAAGGTAAACCCAAATGTATGTGTTGGAAAATGTTTGTAAAATTTTAAAATACATTTTTCTGAGACGTTTGGTTAAATCTACTTCTACAGATGCGGTCTGCCTGGTCGAGTAGGTATATAAGGGCCTAGATCTTTGACACTGCCACTCAGTCTATGAACGAAGTTTAACGAGTAAGTAGCGAGAAAAAAAATAATATTGATTATAAGTCAAAAAAATTGTGTTTAAAACTAATAAGAAAAAAAAGAAAACCCTTCGCAACTGTAAAAAAAACCAAACCTTATTATCAGTTCGAAACAAAAACATAAAGAATTCGCGTTAATATCAAGCTATCAGGAAAAATGTTGTATGTACGTATATAAAAGATAGATATATTAATATCAATATAATATTAATTAAATATTAATTGTATTTCTCCGGTTGTCCTTTTAAAATCGACTAGGTTTCGGTTTTCTTATTGAAACCAAATCCCTTGGAAAACTTACTTGCAATCCGACTGCCTCCTGCTGGTCCATTGAGCTCAGGGCCTTGTCCATGGGCGAGAAGAGCATTTGGCCGACCTGCAAATTATCTTTGCTCTGGGCTATCAAAATGCTTTCGCCAGCCTCGCCCAATCCGGCGCGACCAGCGCGCCCCACCATTTGCTTGTACTTGCACAAAGTCATGAATTCCTGGCCCACATAGGGAGCTCGTATGATTACCCGCTTGGCTGGAAGGTTTACGCCCGCCGCCAAAGTGGAGGTGCAGCAGATGACTGTGACCACGCCAAAGCGATAGGCAGTCTCTATGTACTTCCGTTCGTCCGTTGTCAAGCCCGAATGGTGATAGGCAATGCCGTAGGGCAGGGTTTTGGCCAAAACCGGGCTGACTATGCCGCACATCTTGTCCAGTGCATCCATTAGATCCATTTTCTCGCTCCGCCGATGCTCGAAGAACTTCTGTTTGGGCACAATGCGGCTGAGCAATAGGGCCACATTTTCGCAGTTCTTGCGACTGGGACAGAAAACCAGGCAGCAGTGTTCCGGGGCACATTCGCTGATCAAGCCGGCCAAGTGGTCAGGATCCGCACGTTTCACAGCTTCGCTGTACTGCAAAATGGAAAGTGAAAGGCATTCAATATAACTTTATATATATGTCTAGAGCAGGGAACTCCTCACATTGTAGTCAACAGTGCGACTGGGGATGAAGATCTCCTCCAGCGTTTGTCCAGCCGAGTTGATTTCCAACAAATCCGGACCACATTTGATGTACTCCTTCAGTTCCACAGGTCGAAAACCCCGCGTATAGACATCGGCATTCAGGAAGGAAGATATTTCACTAAGGTTTCCTATCGTGGCACTCATGCCCACAATTTGAATGCTGGCTGGGTATGAAAATCTTATTGATTAACTAAGAAATTTAAGAGAAAATCGAGCACTTACCATTCAAAAACATCACCTTTGTGAGGAAAGCCTCCAAGGTGGCTCCTCTGCCCCTTTCGCCGATCAAATGCAGTTCGTCCACCACCACAAGACCAATCTCGTGGGGACGCTGTGCGTCTATTACGCTGTCCATCAGCACAGCTCCCTTTTCAATGGAGGCAATGAACAGACTACGACGCTTGCGACTTGGCTGTGGCGGACACTTGCCCTTGCCCGCCGTGTACTCCTCCACAATAAAGTCCAGATCGATGGCAAAGGGCGACATGGCGCTGACCTTCTCCTGGACAATCGAGACATATGGCAGAATGAACAACACATTGCGTTCGCGGCAGAGAAGTTCCCGGAGCATAAGGATCTCGGCCACTAGGGTTTTTCCGCCGCTCGTCGGCAGGGCATAGATGAGATTTTTTCTCTGCCTGATGGCAGGTAGATTCAGGCACTCGTCCTGCCATTCTAGAAGATAAAAGGTGTTGTGGATTAAGAACATAATTGGTTTTTCATTACACTCACCATAAAGACTCTTGATGCCCTTGTGCTCGAGTATCATCTTCTTGACCTTATCCGGCAGGCCATAGAATTCACCCTTGCTGGGAAAACTGTCCTTCACTTGCTGCTGCTGCTGCTGCTTCTCCTCCTTTTCAAAGTCCGCAAAAGCCTGTGTCTCCCAGTTGACTGGATCAAGGATGGATTGATTCTTCAGCTCTTCGCAGGTCACGTATTGCGTGCCCTGCACTATGCTCTCTATCACAGATTTGGAGATAAAGGACATGGATTCGTCCTTAACGGAGGGCAGTAACTTCTCCGGCGTGCGGGGCATCTTAAAGGTCACCGCCTCCAGAAAGAGTTGCGTGTTTTGGAGCATGGGTTCACTAAAGTCCTCTGCTCCATGGAATATATCCTCCATTTCGGCAATGCTCAAATCGTTTAGGTTGATTTTCTTGAACACCTCGTCGGCATTGTCCTCCTCCGCCAGATCAATTTGATTTAGAGATTCGCTTGGTTTGGTGTGTTGGTTTAGAGGAAGCTTCTCTGTGCCTGGAAAGGATGTGTCGCCAAAGAGTCCTAGGCCATCATCCGATCCACTTTGCTGCAACTTCTGGTTATTGTTATGGTTTGTCTGTGCCTGCGTCCCAAAGAGCTCCTCCTTTCGGCCGCCCAGCAGATCCTCCAGCTTGGCGTTGGAGAAAAAGCTATCGTCGTCGTCGCCCTCCGGCCAAAAGAGACTCTCGCTGCACTGGCGCTTGGCATGGCTTCCACTTGCCGTCTCATCGGTCAAATCCAGATTTCTTTTGTTTTTATTGTCAACAACTTGCTTATTCGACATTTATTTGGCGCTCAATAGTGTGACCGTCGCGGGAAAGTGGCTGAAAAACGAAACCAGGGCTGTGTCATTTCTACCTTAAGCCAAGTTCCCCACCATAATTGTGTCCCCACTTAAGTGTTGCTAAACTAATTTTGTAATACTCTTTTGATGGGTATTATACATTTTGGTGCGTTGCTTGTCAACAAATTCATTTCATTTTCATTAATTTCATGCTAGTGTCATTAAAAAGCGGGAAATAAAACATCTGCTTGGTGTCACAGTCATCCCACAACTTCAGCAGAAATAATATAGTTGCTACAATTGTTTACTGAATTTTCGCTTGACCTGTTGCAGTTATTTTGAAAATTGTTTCACAACACTGCTGTTTACCGTTCTATGTATCACAACAAAGTTTCAAAAACGCACAAAGAAAACTCTTAAATTTAGGTTTTGAAAAGTAAATTGGAAATATATTTAAATATTTAATTAAAGTGCCTAATATTTAAAAATAACCCATTAACTGGAAAAAGCGGTCTAGAATATTTCAAATTTCCTTAGATCCTTACATTTAGTTGGTCACTCTGTTGGCTTGCCCCGCACTTTGCACAGTTTAATTTCATTCAAAGTGTTTATTTTGCTATCTTTTGTTTATTAGAGTACAAAAAGCGAAGGACGTTTCGCCAGGATGAGCAGCGGCTGGTATTTGCAACACGTAACCACCGGATGCCGGCACATTTTGCACAAGGGGGACAATTTGGTGGGGCGTCACTCGCGCTGCCGAATTGTTTTGGCTGGAAAGTACGAATATGTGTCCCGGGAGCACGCTAAAATCATCGTCAGCGACGATCGCGTGGTGGTGCAATCTCTGGTGAGTTGTCCCAGGTGCCCTCGGCTCGTACATACGGCTAACCATGTCCACTTTAACCACAGAACGCCTTGAACGGCATCTTCATCAACGATGGCAAACTGGGCGACAAGATCAACCGGTTGGCCGTGGCGGAGGGCTCCATGATCAGCCTGGGAGTCACGGGAATCCCGATCGCTGACGTGACAGGCGTTCATGCCATTTTCACCCTCAAGAAAATGAAGCCCACAGTGGAGGAGATTGTGCTCACCTCTGATGACGATGATACCCAACCGCTGCCCGCCGTTAAATCTTCCAGTTGCAATCAGCCCACAGAATTCAATCTCAAACAGCAAGTGCCAGGCTTTGCCATTAAGCAGGACATCAGCAGCCAGGCGGAGGAGGAGGAGCTGCCCTCCAGCTCGGGCTTGCATCTGCCGAAAATAACGGAGGTCAAGCAGGAAATGGTCAATAAAACCACAGAGGACATAGTGAACATCTTCGGGGAGCCGGACGAGGCCATTCTCGACTATGTTATGGAGAAGAATCCGTATGTGTACAACAAGCTGAACAACAAGCCAGTGGGCGCGGCCACCCCCAGCTCAAAGATCCACGACGGCGACCATATTGTACTGGACTCGAATGCGGAGACGGGTCAAATGCCGGAGGGACAGGACCAGGACCAGGAAGTCCTCCAGGACGAGGAGGAGTACGATGAGCGCTTCGCCATGTCCCAGGCTGTTTTGAAGGAAATGAAAGCCGAAATGGCCTTCAGCAATGGCGAAGAAAACTTCCTAGATGACATAGATGATATGGCACATGGTTCTCCTTCATCGCAAGCTTCCGAGGACATCGTCGTCATCAGCGACTCGGATGATCATGAGCTTTACGACAAGGTAGCCGACTGGTCCAAGCTGCTCAGCCAAAAGGTCGTCCCGGATGTCATTGAAATGTCGCAGACGTATCCCCTGGCGGAGGAGGATTCGAATTCGGACTCGGATCTGGATATAGCACCTGCGAAACACCCGAGAAGGGCCCTACGTATGCCGTCCTCCAGTGAGGACGAATCTAGCGACGAGATGGCTGCTATTAATCAGAAGCGAAAAAGAGGACGTTCTGAAATCAGGATTATTAACGAACGCATTGTGCGCCAAGGTAGTTACACTACATTTACTAATAAATACTATAATAATACATTTTTACTTTTATCACAGCAGACAGCACAACTCCAGATCCTCAGTCGTCTAAAAATTGCAAAATGCGCGTTAGGGACATCAAAAGTATTGACCATGTGAGCTCCACTGCCAGTGATGAGCAGCCTTTCGAGGAAGTCAAAGCTAAACTAAAAACTTGTTTTAAAACTCCGCCGAAGGTATTAGTAGACGACGAGGACAAGAAAGCAGGGACCAAGAAGTCCTCCATCCCCATGCGACGCAAGTCAGTTGCATTTCGAGATGAGGTGGCTGAATTCAGTGCAGCAAAGCCAAGCACTTGCCGGGAAATCAAGGATTCACCTAATGACAAAGCAGTGACGCCTAAGCGACAACTCCGCAGCCGTTCAAAATCCTGCTATATAGAATTGCCAAATGATTTTAAAGAGCCGCTGACGAAAAAAGGGAAAGGAAAGGAAGTCGTGGAAGAGAATCTATGCGAGCTAAGGTCAAATTGTGTCATCGTAACACCAAAGAAATGCGCCGAAACGATGGATAATAGTCGCCAGGAACTAGTGGTTACGCTACATAGTCCAACTAAACTAGATGTACCTTCTAAACCTGAGCAGCAGAGTCCCGCCAAAAAAAGTTCACGGCTGCTCAACCGATGTAAATCATTTTCTATGGACCGCCCTCTGACCACGGAAACCGATGATCCTAACAAGAAGATGCCCATGGAGTTGTCGCCGACTAAGAGCAATGCTTCCGGAAGAGTTAAGAACCTCAACGAGGCAAGATTGACACGCGGACCATCCGTGATTGAGGCTCCGAGCTTGACCAAGCACCGAGGAAGGCCGCGAGGGGCTAACAATATGGATAAGGAGATGCAAAGGGTGATGGAACGACAGCGTTCGCTTGACTACCAAACGGAAATGAAGGCGAAGTGGCTTCAAAAGCCAAAGGACAAGAAAAGAGAGGATGCAAAAGTGAGGGAACAGCGCCGCGAAGCTCTGAAGAAGCTTGCCGAAAAACCGAAAGACAACGATAACCGCTCCAAATCCAGCAAGAGAAAGCAGGCAACAAGTGTGCCCACTGGGCACAACTCCAATCGCGGCGAATTCCTCACCAGAGGAGTCGATGGCCCGCCCGCCAAAGTGGCCAAGAAGGATAACAACGCCATGCCGCCGCCAAAGAAGCCGATTCCCAAACGGCGCCAAACCATTGAGACATTCTCGCAGCAGCTGCAGGCAGCTGATAAAGTTGATAAAGCTGATAAAGTCATCTATCCACAACCACTTTGCCCGCGTGTTGCCCAGCGGAAGGCGGCCGAGCAGGCGAGGAACCAGCGCACCTGCAACAAAGTCACATTTGCCGAAATGGAGCAATATCAACGAAGGAACGAAGACCTAACAAAGCTTCAGAAGAAACTGAGGAAGGTGCACTTCAGCGATGTTGTCGACGTACATTATATCGAGTCGGTGCCGGGGGCCAATGCGCCGGTAAAGAATCGCAAGGAAAGCATCAAGCTCTTCCTCAGCACGTATCGCGATCGACGCGAATGGGTGCTGAAGGACAACAAGCCCAAAAACGACATACGCCAGCACTCGCGGAGCATCCTTAGATGGGCCAACCAGTGGCTAAAGCTGGGCAGCGTGGATGCGGTCGCCAACCAGGATGTCCTACTGCCCATTCCGCATGAATTCGATAATTTCAGGCAGTACAGGGAGTGAGTTTGGATATCATTCATTGAAATGTCACCTTTTGCTCACCTTCTTTTTGTTTTTTTTTTTCTTACCACAGCACATTTGTGCCTTTGATGAAGCTGGAGCTGCTGACCACCATCGAGAGGGACTACAAGATAAACTGCATAAATACTTTCTCTGCCAGTTTGGAGACCGTTTCCAGCCAGGATAATTGCTACCGTTTGGTTGCCAGGGGTGTGTATTTACCAGGATTTGAAAATGCTCCAATGCTTCACATTTCTATGACCGTTTTGGAAGACTGAAAGAAATGTTTTTGTATTTTTAGAAGCCTTGTTCATCCTATTAAATGCCAAGGAAGTACTTACTTACTTACTTAAAATATGATGAAAATTTAAATGTAATTTTAAGGAATGGCATCTAATTTCTTTAAAGTTATATGTCAAGTCTTGAATCAAGACTTTACCTTTTTTTCCATCTGCGATATCACATTTTATAAAAGAAAATTATGTTTACATATATGCTTAGATAAGTCTCTTCTAACATTTTGTTGAACAAAAAGCCTGCATCTTTTACAAAGTCTCATTTTGTTTTCCTGTGTTCAATTTACTTACAGTCAGTAGCAAACCCGTTGGCAGATATGTGCTGTATACCCTGTCCAGTGGTAGCCAACTAGACGCCACTTTTGCCAATCTGATAGCCATCAAGTGTGTCGGAGGTAAGTCATCACTACATAATTAAATAATCCAAGACATCGCTTACGTTAATCCGTTTCCCAACCCGCCAGGCAAGGTGTTCGACCTGACATTTGATATCCTGCAGCAGGTTATAACCGAGGAGCAGATCAACAGCGTGAAGCAGCTAACCGTCTGTCCGGTTGTGGACAGTCTGCGGGTGGAGCTGGGGGCCTTGAGCGCTGTCCATCAGCTCTCGCGATCGCCACTCTGCCGCCGGATTATGAAGCCCACGCAGACGGTGAACGAGGTCTCACTGCCCAAGCAGCCGTTCACCTTCAAGGGATTCAGCCGGATGAACGAGCACCAGGAGAGCATTTGCATTCGCACCTACCAGCGGGTGATCGACGACCTGCAGCCCAGCCTCACACTGATCCAGGGACCGCCCGGAACGGGCAAGTCAAAGGTTATATCGGAGCTGTGCCTGCAGATTCTGTACGGAAATGCGGCCAGGATGCTGGACCGCAAGATTTTGATTTGTGCCCATTCCAACACGGCAGTGGATCACATTGTAGGACTGCTGGGTGGCGTTTTGCGCGTGATGAATCACGACCGCTTCCACCTGCTGCGGTACGGAATGCACGAGAAAATGAGCCACTACTCGCGTGCCTATTCGCTGGAGGAGCACTTCAAGAATGCCAACTTGCAGAAGCTGCAGCGCCTCAGTCCGGAGAACACGGAAATCCTGAAGAAACAGCACACGGACTTGAAGGCGGAGATCCAACAGCTCAGGCAGAAGCCGAATCTCAAGGTCACCTATCTGCAGCAGAAGTTGGAGGAGAAGGAGCGTCAGCTGCAGCTGATCGCCGAGCAACTGAATCCACCGCTGACGCAGCGCGAGGAGTTTGAGATCTCGAAAACCTGTGTGGATAGGGCCAACATCGTCTGCACCACGCTGTCCTCCTGCGTGAAGCTGGCCAACTATGTGGAGTTCTTCGACATCTGCATCATCGACGAGGCCACCCAATGCACCGAACCATGGACGCTGCTGCCCATGCGATTTGGTCTAACGCACCTGGTTCTGGTCGGCGACACGCAACAACTGCCGGCGGTGGTGCTGTCCAAGAAGGCCATCGACTTTGGGCTGTCCAACTCCATGTTCGATCGCATCCAGCGGAGTCTGCAGCAGCAGCTGGACAAACCGGGCGGCAATCAGTTCGTGCACACGAAGCTCTTCAAGCTGAGCATGCAGTACCGCATGCACCCGGAGATTTGCCGCTGGCCGAATAAGTATTTCTACGAGGATCAGTTGGTGAATGCCGAGTGTACGGGGCGTTTCGCCGCACCACTGATCCCCTACTGCGTGATCAATCTGAGCTACACCCAGGATTCGAGTGGAGCTCACACCAAGAGTATTAGCAACGACGAGGAGGCTCGCTTTGTGGCCAAACTGCTGACGGAGATGGACAAGCACATGCCCAGCAAGCGCTACAGCTATGGTCTAATTTCGCCGTACCAAAATCAGTGTTATGCCTTGAGTCAGGTGATTCCCAGCCACATAAACGTAACGCCTCTCACGGTGGACTCGTACCAGGGACTGGAGAGGGACGTGATCATCATTTCGAATGCCAGGACACGTGGCTGCGGCTTCCTCGCCAACTATCATCGACTCAATGTGGCGCTGACCCGACCTCGTCGTTGCCTGGTCATATGTGGCAACTTTGACGACCTACAGGTGAGTGGACAGGACAAACTTAATCACTATTATTGTTTAATTTCTTGTAAATCTCAGTCTGTGGATATGTGGCGGCAGTTGCTCGACGATGCCCGCCAGCGGAGGGTTTACTTTGACTTGAAACGCGAGCATATCGATGATCTACAAAGTTCGCTGATCGACAAACTGATGGTTAAACCCATTGACAAAAGTTAAGGCAATCAGCTAAACCGAGTTGAAGTGATTGAAATGGTCTATTAGCTTTAGGAATGCTCCAAGTGCCAACCCAGGAAGAGAAGCGCTTCCCTTAGGATTATAAACTAGAAACTTGTTGTTTTTTTTTTTTCTTTTTTGTATTATTTTATCTGTTATATATTTAACATAGATAATTTTAAGTTGAAATCTTTGTACACTTAGTTCGTTAAAACACCGTTGACTTGCATTTCTTTGTTAAATGCCATACAGATTCTCGTATAACAGGATTTATAAGTAACCGATCATATATCATCTACATACTTTTTGAGAAAGTGTCGCGGATTGAGGATGATGCTTATGTATTTTGCATGACCAAAGGAACGTTAAGAAATAAATATTGATAGTATTGCACTATAAAGAATTACAGCATTACAGAAGTTTTGATCTCCTCCTCTTCGTCCCTCAGTTAATTAACTAAAATGCGCTTTAATTATTCTAATCTCCAGCTTCTGGCGTCGTTTGCCCGATCTCATCTCATGTCTAAGTTATAGTTATAGTAAGTAAATTCACTAACAACAACACGCACACACACATAGTCGATATTAAATTCATAGTTATTCTGTTTGCTTTGCCTTGCGTCTGTCACTTGGGCATTAAAATTAATGGAATCGCTTAATGATACGATTGCACTATGTAGAATTCTGCCAAACACAATCGATTTAACTTAATGCAAGTAAATGAAGGTACTAACTTAGGAAATTATTTAAAATGTAGCAACAAAATCTAACTAAGGACTAAAAACATAACAAAAATTATGCCCGTAAATAACTTATTTTATGTGGCTGCTCAAAGGTGCTCGCCCGTTTGCTTACAGATATATATATCAGTGTATATATATAGAGAAATTTCGGCTTTATATAGAACGTACGACTAAAGCAAACATCTTGTCCGAATCTAACTGGTAACCGATTAAGCCGATTAGGTTAGCATGTCGCCCAAATTGTCCTTGAGCGATTGATAAATTTGGTATTGTTGATCAGGTTTAAGGTTGTAGATCTGTGTCAGCAGCTTCGCCGGCGACGGGGTTCTAATGAAGCTGGATATATAAACGTTCACGAAGGTGGCCATGAGGAACTGGCAATCGAAGCGATCCATAATGCCGCCATGTCCGGGAATCATGTCGCCAAAGTCCTGCCATTTAAAGAGCATTATGTTAGGAGGTAATTTATTTTATTTGAAAGCCAAGCTCACCTTAATTTTGAATGCCCGCTTAAATCCGGAGGCGAAGAAGCCGCCAAAGGGTCCGATTATGGAGCTAAACAGGCTCAGGGAGATCGAGTGCCAGATGAAGGGGTAAAGGCTTAGAGTCTTGCCAATGCCAAACTGCAAATGTTTGAAATTCGAGAGGGTTAAGTTCATTTCAGTAATTGCTATAATCATTTTAGTAGATATATGTTTATGATTTAAACCATGAATAGTACTTTCGATAAGATAAATATAAACTATAGGGTAGTGACCATGACAAACTGGTGGTGATAACAATTTAGAATGATTAAGTTTATTTTAGATATTGGTATGTTCAATTGCAACAATAAAAACTTGCAAACAAAACCCATATTTTCTTATTTAAAAAAAAAAAATACTAAATTACCAAATCCTGTATACTGTAAATATCTGTATCCCGTAATTGGTTCTGTATTAGTCATATGAAATTTGACACCCCAAGAAAACACCCCCCACTGTCTATAACCATCATCACTTACCAACTTAAGGCTGTATTCCTGCGGCGTGAACAGATAGCTGGGCACACAGGACATGGTCATGCGACCCAGTTCCTCGGAGTACTGGATGGGGCAGATGAAGTACTGGTAGTTGCACAGCACATAGGAGAACAGAATGCCGAAGAGGACGGTGGCGAAGCCACCCCCCGATGAAGCCCTCCCAGGTCTTCTTGGGGCTGAGCTTGATGAGGGGCGTGCGCCCGAAGAAGAAACCGAACACGTACGCCATGACATCATTGCAGACAATCATCGATACAGGTACGATGAACCAAATGAGACCCTCGAATATGTTCTGGATGATGAGGTAGCTCTGGGTGACGACAATCAGCAGCGATACGTGGGTCCAGGCGAACAGGCTGAACTGCTTGATGTAGTACTTCTTCACCAGCGAGAGGACGAACCAAACGAAGCCGATGATGTACAGGGCAAAGGACAGGAAGCGATGATAGGTCACCAGGAACTTGAGGTACTCCTGCACACAGAATTGCTGGTTAATAATAATAATCAATTAAAATATCACACTCTATTTACTCACCACTCGATTGATGACCACGCCGAAGTAGTCAACCAAATTCTCGCCGTAGAAGAAGTAATTGGAGGTGAGTAGGAAGTACCAGGAGAGACTCCGAAACCAGGGCAAGCCGTGAATCCGATACACCTGGTAGCCAATCGAGATGATCTCCTGGAAGCATTTCACCTGCACCAGCAAAGTCTATCCAGAGAAAGTTATAACAGAATTAATTAAAGGCATGATTGCATTGAAATCCACTGCTCTTACCGTGATCATCAAGGCCAATGGACCGCCGTAGATGATCAGTGCGAAGCCGCAGATCATAATCCATGTGAATATGCCGCGAATGACCCAATTCTTCCATCTGCGGAATGCGCAAGAGATTATTGTTTGTAAATGTACATATTTATTTCGAATATTTGCTCGCCAACTGCAGCCAGCTGTGGTCATGGAATGTTTTCTAAAATACACAAATACTGCCGAATTTCGAAATTTCGCACTTCTTCAAGCCAAAAAAAAATAAAGAAAATAAAATTGGTACAAATTAAAATTTTACTATTGAAAGGAAATGGCAATTTCATCAATACAATTTGTATAATTAAGTTTAGTACTTTACTCGATGTTATTTTACCCACTTTTTTTAGTGCGTAAAATCATTCAATATAATAGCATTTATAAAAACCTAATAATATCATGAAAAACGATTTTAATTGGAGTTTGCAACACAAACATTAAAGCGATTTAATTATTAGAAATTAAAACCAGAAATTAAAACCAGTGCAAACTGAAAGGTTTTTAATAAACTGCTAATGGTTGTAATCAAATTATTTGTATTTATTTATAAATTAGTAATAAAAATTAGTATGTAAATTTGTACAAAACGAAAGCTTTCTAAAATACTGCTTATGACTATAATATATTTGGAAACTTGTTGAACAGATCACTTAATATTTATAGTTTTTCAGTACAAAAAAGCACTACATTTATCAGGTTAACACTATATTTTTGAGTTTTGAATAGCCAACTGTGCTTAAATTTTGGATATAGTGCACTTACCTATCCGGCAAATCCTTGAGAGCCGAGTCCAGTATCTCGGGCGTCTTGTCGGTGCCCTGCGGCAGATTCTTGGCCAGCTCGTCGACGAACTTCTCCTCGGGAATCTTCTCCTCCTCGGAGTCCACCTGCAATGGGGATTTGGATTTGGATTGGGAATGCACTTATTGATTGGCTAAATGACGATTTCTAAATGGGTTTGCGTTTCCTATTATCGGACATCGGATTCGATACGACCCGAGTGCAGGGTTTAAGCACTTTCTATTGGGCGCTGTGCAAAGTCCAAGATACGTGTATGTGGGGGGGCTATATACCCATAATCAGAATCACTCGTTTATCCAATACACAGGCATAAAGTAAAGGTGGAAGAGGGGGGAGGCGGGGAAGGGGGAACGGAAAAAGTGGGGAGACAAATTGCGGGCTTTTTTTTGGTGGCGTGTTTTGTTTGTTGCCAATTCGCTCGGTTGATAAGGAGACATTTGGTTTCTGTTTTTTGGGTTTCACGGGGAGGCTTATCACCGAGAGAAAAACTAGCCGCAAAGGGAGGAGGTAATAGGTTCTTGGCCCAGTGCTTCCGCAAATGTCGTCCACTTAATTGGATTTGCTGGCAATAATGGCGCTATATTGCAACACAGCAGGTGGGTGGGGGTGGGTTTTACTGTTTTGCTGTTTTCCGTTTGTTATTGGATTTTCTCCAGAAGAGAGAGCTCTCACACTCTCTCTCTCTCTCTGTCTGTCTGTCTCTTTCTCGCCGTCAGAGAATAACAAAAACAGACACACACCCACACACACATTTGTTGGTATACACACATTGGGTTTTCTATGCTCCAAGAATTATGCAAATTGGAATCCGGAACAGGCTGCTGCTCTACCATGCTCTGCTCCACATAGAAGTCATTGGCACTGGCAGGCACATTATTGGCACTTACATGATCCGAGGAGTCGGCGGCGGAGGAGTTCCGCTTGTTGGCTTCCCCTCCGGATCCGGAGATCGCGGTGTCCTCCAGTGGCTCCTCCTCGCCCTTCCTGCGTCGCACTTCGGCCATTATTCGATTTTACGCAAATCAATTCGCAATCGATTCCTATTGATTCGTGTTTTGATTCCGCTTAAACAGTTCCGTGCTCCGTGCTCCGAGATCCGTATGTCCACTTCGTCCGAATAAAAACTTTGTATTTAAAATTTAATTTTTGTAGAGGTGGAAGTTAGAGGTGGAGAAACATCGATGCCACATCGATGTCAACGATGTTTTCGAAAAATCGGTCCTATCGATGTTTGGCAGGGATTATCGATATTTGTCCATCCATCTCTCTCTCTTTCTTTTAGTTCGGCGTTTGACTAATATTTCACTGCAAAACACAAACCCACCACAAGCACGCAAATTTAAATAAATGTACATTAAAAAATAGCAGTTTCTATATAATTTAATTTTATTTTTATTGTCCCTTTTGGTTTTCGATTAGATGTTGGAGTTTAATTGGATGTAAATATCCTCATAAAATAATGAACAACAAATATTTTATTAATACAGATAATTAAAAAAATAAAGGGAGACTAAAAAAAATTTGTTCGAAATTAATTATGTGTGTGAATTAGGAATCTCTTGATTTTAATACTCCATTTCAATAATTCAATATTCTGTTCGCCATCCCTGAAAATTGTAATGTCAAACTTTCAACGTTTTCCAACACCTCCACCGGCGGCGTCACTTGCAATTTTTCCATCTCGCCAATTTTCAATTTTCTTGCCAAAGATACGAAAAACTAAGAGCGCAAAGCAGAGAAAATGGCAGCAGCTATCGATGGTGTTTTCCCGAGCACACTGCAAGAGCTGGTGAAGAAGGCCAAGGTGCTGGTGGTGGGAGCCGGCGGAATTGGCTGCGAGGTGCTCAAAAACCTTGTGCTCAGCGGCTTTACAGACATTGAAATTGTAAGTTCTTTAGAGGGGAGATTCAGAGCTTTAGTGGTTATATATTGACTATTTACAGATTGATCTGGACACCATTGATCTGAGCAACTTGAACCGACAGTTCCTGTTCCATCGGGAGCACGTTGGAAAATCCAAGGCGCGAGTGGCGAGGGAAAGCGCCCTGAGCTTCAATCCGGATGCCAAAATAACCGCTTATCATGATAGCGTTACATCGTGAGTTGGAATGGTTATATCTTGGGAACGCCCTACTTGTATAGTAATCCCATTACCTCTCCACTTGTAGTACCGATTACGGTGTCAACTTCTTTAAGAAGTTCGATTTGGTGCTTAGTGCCCTGGACAACAGGGCCGCCAGGAATCATGTGAATCGCATGTGTTTGAATGCGGATGTGCCGCTGATCGAGAGCGGCACCGCCGGCTACAATGGCCAGGTGGAGCTGATCAAGCGGGGACTCACCCAGTGCTACGAGTGCACGCCGAAGGACAAACAGCGAAGCTTCCCCGGCTGCACCATCCGCAATACGCCCTCCGAACCGATTCACTGCATCGTCTGGGCCAAGCACCTCTTTAAGTGAGTTATACGGCTGAAATAGCACATATTATATGTTTAAAAAACAAAAAAAAATAACGTTTAAATATCTGTATTTAATAACTTCGTTAACCATTTATTAGTTGAAAGAATTCCTTTTGTTTTTTGTAATATTAAACAAATTTAATTAGTTGCATTAATTAATACGCTTTTTCAGTCAACTCTTTGGCGAGTCGCTGGAAGATGAGGATATTTCCCCAGATGCCGCTGATCCCGATGCCAAGGAGAAAGATGAAGCCGGCGGAGATGCTGAGCCAAAAGCTGATGGGCAGGAAAAAGAGAAGGATGAAGAGTCCAAGGAAGAGGACAAGGAGGAGGCCACGGCCAATGGCAATGTGGTGCGGATCAATACCCGCCAGTGGGCCAAGGATTGCAACTACGATGCTGGCAAGCTGTTTAACAAGTTCTTCAACGAGGATATTACCTACTTGTTGCGCATGTCGAATCTCTGGAAGACGCGCAAGGCACCTGTGCCCGTGCAGTGGGACACCCTGCTGCCCAATGGATCCTCCGGCGACCAGAAGGAGGTGGCCAAGCAGCACCACAAGATCTGGAGCATTGAGGAGTGCGGCCACGTCTTTGCCAACGCTTTGAAGGAGTTGAGCGCAAACTTTCTGAAACTCGAAGGCGACGATACGCTATCTTGGGATAAGGATGACCAGCCGGCCATGGACTTCGTGGCCGCCTGCGCCAATGTGCGCTCCCACATCTTCAACATTGAGCGCAAGTCGCGCTTTGAGATCAAATCGATGGCGGGCAACATTATCCCGGCCATTGCCACCACCAATGCGATTACGGCGGGAATTTCGGTGATGCGTGCTTTTAAAGTGCTGGAGGGCAAGTTGGAGCAGTGCAAGGCTGTCTATGCCCGACTCAGGCCAAATGCTCGCAATCACTTCCTTGTGCCGGACGCCTCTCTGCCCGGTCCCAATCCCAATTGCCATGTCTGCGCCAGCGATCCGGCCATTACCCTCAAGATTGATACGAAACGCATTCGCATTCGGGAGCTGCGCGACGAGGTCCTGGTGAAGACACTCAACATGCTCAATCCCGATGTGACCGTGGAGAGCAATGGCTCAATTTTGATCTCCTCGGAGGAGGGCGAAACCGAATGCAACGAGGGCAAACTCCTCAGCGAGCTGAATATTGTGGATGGTGTTATCCTCAAGTGCGATGACTTCTTCCAGAACTACGAGCTGAGTATTATTATCTCGCACTTCGATGCAGAGCGTGATCAGACTTTGTTCGAGGTGGTTGCCGATGCATCTCAGCTGAAGCCCAAGGAGGAGGAGCAGAAGAAGGAGGCCGTGCAGGAGGATGATGAACAGAAAACGGCCAAGAAGCGCGCTGCGAACGGGGAAGGAGACGCCAAGGACGATGGACCATCCACATCGAAGCGCAGCCGACCCACCGTAGTGGATGAGGAGGATGACGATGACTGCCTGGTGATCGAGGAGGACGAGGATGAGGCGGACGTCGTTGCCGTGGCCACAGACAAACTCTCCATGCAGAGTCCCCTCAAGGCGGGCACCAAGCGCAAGCCCAGCGAAGTGATCGAGGATGAGGAGGACATCACCGAGATCTTGGACTCCTCCGACGATGAGCCCGCGGCACCCACCAAGTGCAAGCGTTCTCGTCTGGACGAGTCGCTGTCCAATCCCGTAGAAGTCATCAGTATCGATTAATCAAAAGAAACAAACTATTCGAATAAGTACTCAGCTGCAGACTAAAACATTTCACGGATTCCTTTTAATGAAAAGCATTTTGCTTTGAATAACACTTTTTTTTATGTATCATAAAAACTTTGAATTGTCATCTTTTTAAAAGGATTCTTCAATTAAATGAATGGATTAAATTTATTTGTTAGTTTGAATTTAAAAATGTAGTTGAATTTTTAAATTCGATAGCTTTGTTTCACCAGTGTTGCTAAACACTCAAAGTCAATGTGTTTGTTATCGCTTCTGTCTAGTTGGATCCCAAACAGAAAAGGTGAGCTTTTCCCACATATTTCGTTGGAAATCTCAATGAAAATGGCTGTTTCAGATGTCCCTGGCTAGTAGAATCCTGCAACAAGGCTCCCGCCTGTGGAATGGCCTCAATGCCGCTCGTGGCTTCCACATTCTCATGCGGCCGGCGACTCCGGCCAGCGGAACCATGCAAAACACACAACTGATGGCCGCCACAAGTGGGATCGCCCAGGGATCAGGACTTCTGAGCCCCAGCTCTTCGCTGCTGCAGCAGGTGGCCGGGTTCAAGGTCAAGGGTCGCCTGAAGCGGCGCTGCAAGGACTGCTACATCGTGGTGCGCCAGGAGCGCGGTTATGTCATCTGCCCCACGCACCCGCGCCACAAGCAAATGTCGATGAAGAAGCGTGACTACAAGTCCTGGATCCTGACGCACGCCACCCAGTCCAAGGAGCGCGGATTTTAGTCCTAATTAGGCGTTAATTAAAGCATTTGTTTAAATATCATGTTCTAAAATAAATAATACAATAAAAAACCAAGTGGTCAACAACTTGTGGCGTTTTCCAACACTACACGCAGCAGCTGATTGAATTTTTAATGCAGTTCTTGGGGCGTATACTTCTCACATCTAATTTTATTTTTCTTATTAATGTAACTTTTATTGATGTGAAAAATTTATATCTTATGTTTTTACTTCTAAATAAAGTATTTGGTTTTGATCATTGTCATATAAAGAAACAATCAAAACAGAAAACCAAGTTAGCGAGCACTTACCAAAACTTGTGACGATTTGCAGCACTGGTCGCACAGCTGACTTTTTGTTTATCTTGATTTTGGAAGAGATTTGATTTGCAGTCTATCTTGCCGCTAATCCGGAATATTGCTGTTTCCGGCCGGAGTTGAGACCACCTGACCGCCAAAGATGACGTCGCACTTCAGCAGTGTGCTGCGCCAGGCCTTCAAAACCTTCGACCGGGCGAATCACGCCAGCTTCAATGCCAATTTGCAGCACCTGCGCCAGCTGACGGATGAGCTGACCTACCGGGACCTGCATCTGCGGGAGGAGCTGTTCCGGAACGTGGCCGGCCACCGGGCGCCCTGCAGCTACATGCACATCTTCGAGGACGACCGCTTCTCCATGAGCCTGTTCATTGTGCGCGGAGCGAATGCCATTCCGCTGCACGACCACCCCATGATGTTTGGCCTGTTGCGCTGCATCTGGGGACAATTGCGGGTGGACAGCTATTCGCAGCAGCTTGGTCCCGATGACGCGCTGACCTACGACCCCGATCCCTCGGTGGTGAAGGTGAAGGCCGAGGAGCCCTGCCTGGTTTCGCCCGACAGCCCGTGCGCCACGCTGACGCCGCGCAAGAGGAACTACCATCAGATTGCCCAAACCGGACATGGTGTGGCCGCCTTTTTCGACATACTCAGTCCGCCGTACGATGCGGACATGCCCACATATGGACCGCGGCAGTGCCGCTTCTACGGCGCCAAGGCGGACGGCAACCAGGTGCTGCTGCAGTGCATCCCCTCGCCGGACACCTACTACTGCGATGTGGTGGACACGCCCGATGCCGTGGTGCAGGCCGCCTTCCAGTGCGCCGACGAGGCGTATGCCGAAAATGCCAGCGGGACGCAGTGAATCGCTGTCGCTGTCCCCCTTTCCTGCAGCTAAACACCCTCCTATATTTATTCGCCCACCATCACTCCTCGTTGGCTGCCCAGTGTATCAGCCAAGTATCTTCTGTGTTATTTAAATAAAATTGCCTCTTTTTTTGTAGAATTTGCTCCGCTTGCACGGAATTTGTTAGGTTTTAATCGTCTTGAGCTTGGTAAATGTCCTGATTGCGTCGTTTTAGCTTCTTGAGATTGGGACTGGCGGGAATGGTGGATGGTTCCTCAGTTGCAGGTGCTTCTGTAGCTTGGTCAGCTTCTTCTGGTTGTGGTTCCTCCTCCTCCTCGGGCAGATCTATCACGTTCTTATCCGTGGTATCTGCAGGTGCGGCTATGGGAGCTGGCAGGGATAAGTTCAGTTTCCTCTTTGTGGGCGTGACCAAAGGTTCTGTCATCTCTTGCTCCGCCTGCTCCTCCACTTCAGCACTTTTATTCGCCTTATCCTGGATGACTTCAGATCCCACTGCCGGCAGATCCTTGCCATTGGCCAGCAAAACCAAGCACAGTGGATCATCTATGCCCAAGGCGGCGCAGAAAGTATTGCTCTGGGGATTCAGATGGACCTTTGGTTGGCCCACAACCATGTGCTTGTAGTTGGATTGCTCCTCGGGATCAAAAGCTGGCACCGTGCGCTCAAAGTTCTCAGGCACCTGGAGATTCTGGAACTTTGTGGTCACAGCTTCCAGTTCCGCATCGGTGGGTGTGAAATTAAAGCGTTCTGTAAGTGCTCCCGCCTTTTTTCCAGGCAGATAGTAGTAGTTCTCCTTGACAGAAATCAAATGATTGGTACTGTGCAAGATGGCCAGCCACTCGGCGTCGTACTCCAGGCGGGGATTACCCTCAATGGGGTCACCTGGAATATCCACCACTTGCAGGAATGCTCGTCGCGGCAGGCATTTGTCCAGTGCCAGGAATTTGGTCACCGGAACGGGTTTCGAAGGGGTTGGTGTAGTAGGAGCGGCCTTCTTTTCCTTCTCCTCGTCCTCATCTTCACTGCTGCTGCTGGAGGAGGAGGAAGCTGCATCGTCCGCTCGCTGCTGGCCGTGATTATGCGGTACCAGGGCGGCAAACTTGCAGTGCAGATGGGCAGCAAACCAGTAGGCCGGCTGGACTGCTTTGAGCAGCTCCTCCAGCGGCTGGCTGCCCAGTTTTCCACTTTCCATGTCCGCCGCAAAGAAGGGCTTCTTGCGCAGCAGCTGCGCCTTGTTCCCGTACTCATAGATCCCGGTGGGCCAGTCGTGTGACAGAAAGATGTCCACTTTTCCGGACAACTGCTTCAGCCGGAACACTTCCAACTGCCGCACATGGTAGACACTGCGGCAGGTGGACTCCGTGTAGGGCGGATATTCATGGTGACCGCGCAGAAAGTCGTGACCCTTGTAGATTCCACTTATTCCCGCGATGCGAACGCCATTCACATTGACCACGCCTGCATAGCCGAGGTAGTAGATATTGGGAGCCACCCAGCCGCCGTAAGGCAGCTCCTGCAGGTAATTGGAGGCCTCGTGGTTGCCGCCAATGAAAATGGTCAGCACCGGGGCCACCAGCTCACCGCTGTAGTATCTGTCATAGGGAATTGATAAGCCCAAATGCTGGTTATAGAAAGTATTTGCACCCACTTGTAGAAGGAGCACATGTCCAGGTATTTCTTGGGAACCGCCATCGTCTGCAAATCCTCCAGATTTCGGGTGGACTGAAAATCGCCGCAGCACAGCAGGAGGTCGATCTTAGTGCCGCTCTCCTTCTCGATTCCCGCGATGGTCTCATATATCCGCTCCAGTTCGCCATGTGCGCATCCTTCTATAGCCACTTTCATGTTTATACGATTTATTTATAAGATGTCCAGATGTAAACAAAAAGAAAAGGCGGCATACAAGAAAGTGTTGCACAGCGTCTTCTTGCTACTTAGAGATGACACTGTTTAAGGCACTGTTTATCGATAAATCTATGTTTAGGGCGGCAAAATCAAAATTAAAAAATAAATTTATACAAAATATAATATAATTCGTGATTTTTATAATCCATCTTAAATTAAAACCCCTTGCCCTGGTTTAGAACAAATGGTTCCAGTTCAAACGTTAAAAATGTTTTTTTGTTTATTTTTCAAAAATATCGCTCCATTTAGTATAGTATGTTGTGTGTAAAGAAAATGTATGTGAAATGCTCTGCGTTTAATGCTCATTCTCCGACCTAGAGTCCATCTTTTTTGGAGTTCTGCGTGGGCGTGCTGGTGGGCACAATCTCATTACATGAGACCATCTCGTCCTCGACGTGTTTGTTATTCCTTTCGTTTCGTTTCGTTTTGTTTACATACAAAGATTTACAATGGACTTTCGACTTAAGTTATCATAATTTAGTTGGCCGCCATGGCCAAGAAATAGGAAGTAAAATATAAATCTACAATAAATATAGTGCGGTCTTGACGTCGCTCGACCGTTCGATCCTCCGATTTGGGCGGGCGAACCGATCGGTCAATGCAGCATGCATGGGTACACGGAGTGTACGAAAACCAGGAGAATGCCTTTAAAGCCATCATCAGCATGCCAGATGTGTTTTGTTTGATGTTTTTGTTATGTTTTGGAAAGAATATGAGAAACAATCAAGTCAGAAATCGAACCAAGTCTCTGGTGATCTGGTCAATATTCAGTTAATTAGGAGCCGAACTTGAAGGACGTGGGCACGGCGGTTTGTGGGAAGGCGAAGCCGCCCTGTTTCTCGATCAGCTTCGATTCCTTGGCGGCCTTGCGTTGGTCGGCGGTCACCACGACCTCCTGCAGCGCCTTGGCCTGTTCGGGCGTCAGGTTGGAGGTGAGCAGCGCATACCAGGCTTGATCCTGGGCAGAAAGTGCTGTGGGTGATGAAAAAGTCAAGTCATTTACTTTCTGATATCAAGCTGAAAAATTATCCAAACTCACCTGTAATAACTTCCTTAAACGTCCAGTACTCATCAATGGCGCTCTCGTTCTCCTCGTCGTCGATGGGCGTGGTGAAGGACTCCAGTCCAGTCTCGTTCAGATCGCCCACCGACTCCTCCGCCTCGCCGTCCGAATCCGCATCCTCGTCCTTGATCTCGGCCTTCACCTCGAAGCCCGCCTCGCCGCCCTTCGTCTTGGCGAACTCGGCCAGCTTGTCCAGATAGTCGGGCGCCATCTCGTCCATGTCATCCTCGTCGCTGGACAGAGCCTCCTCGCAGTCGTCCCCATCCTCCTCCTCCTCCTCTTCCTCCTCCTCCTGGGCCCGCGACTCGTAGGCTCGCTTCAAGCCATCGAAAAGTAAAATAAGGGCGGGCACAATCTTGCCGGCCACCTCGCTCAGCACCTGCGGCTTGGCCTCACCCAGCGAGATGAGGGTGCACAGTCCCAGGACGCACAGTTTGCGATCATGGATGCTGCAAAGGTTAAAGTTCAAATTAATAAATTGGCATGCGATTTAAGCTGCGAAGCCCTACCCCAGGAAACAGTCCGTGTCGTGAAGCCACTGCTTGATAAAGTGCGCGCTGATCGACTCGTTGTTCTGCTGCGACATCTTGTCCAGAATGGACAGCAGCAACTGGGGATTATAGTAGAGGGCCGCGATTACCACTTGCAGGCACATAGTGCGCAGCTCTGAGGACTGAACCTCGCGCGTCAGCCGCGACAGAGCCAGCTCCACAAACATGTGTATCACTGAGTCGATTTGGCCCTTGCACTGCAGGATGATCACCTCCATCAGTTTGGCGGCATGGCACTCGGGATCTTCGCCAGGGCTGCCAGTAAGCATCTAATCGAAAACAAATCAAATCATTAACATTTGTAGATTATTTTAGAGGCAGGCATATAATAGCTAACCGTCTTGCACATGTCGAGAATGGCCAACAGCCGGTTGGGATTGGAGAGGAAGGCGGGCGTGTCGACTGTCACATAGTTATGCAGCGCTGGCATAATGTCGATGAAGTAGTCGATGCCGTCCTTCTTGAACACCTGGTAGATCAGCTCCAGCATTTGCCACATCTCCGGTGAGATGGCCTTGGCCGTCAGATCGTAGACCAGCGAGAAGGTTTCCTCATAAAAGTCTGGCAAAGAGAAGCCATAATCATAACAAGCCATTTTTAAGAGATTTACGGCCACTTCTCAACTCACCCGTGATGTTGTGCTGGAAAATGTGTCCCACCACATTAATGACGATCGGATGCAGGTTGAGCAGCACTTCGGGATGCTCCTCCATCACACTGAGCAGCGTTTCAATCGTGTTGAGCAGGCTCATGGCCGTGATGGCCTTCTCATCGGATCCCTCCTCGGACTCCAGCACCTGGCTGAAGGTGGTGGCCAGATGCTGGCAGATCTCGGTGGCCACCGGCAGCAGCTGCTCGGTGAAGGTGCACACGATCTTTTGCATCACGTTCGTCAGATCCTCGTTCTCCGTCTCGCGGATGATGGTGAGCAGCTCCTTGGTGATCTCCTTGATCTGCCCCTCCACATAGGGCGGCGCGTCGTCCTGGGACGATAGGAACATCTGCAGGCCGATGGCCGCCTCCACCTTGACGGGCAGCTCCTTGTCCGTGAGCAGAGCGTTGGTGGTCAGCCGCATGATCTCGGCCAGCACCTGGGGATTCTTGATCTGCACGTCGCAGAAGTAGTGCAGCACCCAGCAGGCACGCGCCCTCATGTGGCCAGCGGGATTCTGGAACTCGGGGAACACGTACGTGGTCAGCATGGACTCTACTTGGTCGCGGTACAGTGCCTTCTTCAGCAGCACGTCCGCCAGCGTTCCGATCATGTGCAATGCACCATCCTTCTGCTTGTTGTCCGCATTCGGAGACGTTATTATCTGCATTATTGTGGCCATGGCCTTGGGCAGGATGCCCTTGCGCTTCTTGCAGATGGAATGCAGCAGGGATTGGGCAGCCGGCACGGGCGTGGCATAGTCCTCAAAGATATCTATTTGGAGTGGGGGGTTATATTTCAGTTTCATTGACTTATACCGACTGCTTACCAAACTTAAGGCGAATATATTCATAGGGATCGCTCTCCCAGAGCTCCTGATCGGAGTCCGTGAACGACATGATGGGAAAGATCACATCCTGGATAACGGCCACCATGTGAGGCTTGATCAGCTTCCAAGTGTAGGCGTGGGCAACACTGTGAACAATAAATATAAAACGTTTACAGAAATCTATTATGACTTAAGAAACCAGAAAATGTAATTAAATTCAAACGTTTGATCAAATCTAATGACTTTATAAATTGGAAAACGTGATTAAATTCTATTGATTTATAATGTGTTTAGTAGTTCCTACAGCAATTAAATAAAATGTAAATAAATTTAAAAGATACAAACAGGTATAGTAAAAAAAAAACCTAACATAAAGTGAGGTACTAATTTTTATTGGCATGGCTAAACAAAACCAGTCCTAACTGATTGAAATCCGATTTTTTAACTGCAATTCTATAGGCTATACCTTATCAGCTAGAAACATTTTCAGACTTGCTACCTATCAGTGATTAGGTATGATCTACAGAGGAAAAGTGCTAAAGAAAGGATTTGAAAGCATAAAAAGAGGAACACAATTTAATACCACTTCCTACTTTTAACTTGTAAGAACATTAAATAAGAAGAAAGGATTAAGGATACTTACGCATTCTTCAGATAGTTGAGCACATCGGTGAGGACTCGCGGCGAGACGTAGACGCGATTTCGGTACTGGTCGAGGATCTTGAGGAGCACCTCCAGGACACCCTGGCTGAATGTGGGCAGATACCACTCGGCGAATTTTTGGTACTTTTCACTAACCACATTGCTGGGACTGCCATAACTGAGGGTAAACATGTAGCATTAATTATCTGGACTATAGCAAAAGGGATTCCTTCAACGCACCGCTCGAACATGCGCACCATGATGTGAAGGGCCCACTTCTTGGTCTTCCAGTAGGGGAACTCCGTCCGCTCGTCATCGTCCAGGTGCGAGCTGTCGGGGACATCGCGATCGGCCACCTGGCGGCAGATCTCCATCCACTGCGAGAAGATCTCCTTGGTGATGAGGTCCAGCGGCAGGCTGTATTGCGTGAGGGCGTAGTAGATCTTGAGGATCTGTTTCTGCAGCAGCACCGACTGCTCGGATTGCTCGGCCAGCAGACGCACCATCAGCTGGTAGATCATGGGCAGCAGCAGGTTCATGGCCTCGTTCAGCGGCGTTCGCTCCTCGCTGCGCTTGTACTCGTAGGTCTTGACCAGCTGGTACATGGTCACCAGAGCACCGTTCCAGCCGTTGACATCCTGGTTCTGCAGATAGATGCTGATGTTGTCCACCACCTGAGGCCAGCGTCCGGGGAAATCGCTCTTGATGATGTGATTCACGCAGACGGACAGTTGTACCCTGTTGTTGGCAAAGAGAATAAGCACGTGGTGGCCTAGCTTCCTGACCTGGGCAAAACCCACCTGATCAGCTCGGGGGCATGCACAATGGCGTCCACGATGGCACCACGGATCATGGCCCGATCCTGCTCGTGTATGGAGAAGGGAATGGGCTCGCCCGGCTTGGCCTCGTGATCCGACCAGCTGCTGTTGATCAGATTCTTGAGGTAGACAGCTCCTGCCTGGCGCACCGGCTGCTCAACCGTCGTCTGCATCACGATCTGCAGTATGGTGGGCACGAACCCAATGATTTTGTGTATCTGTGGGGTAATGGAAATAGTATCGAATCTATAGATTTGTTTACACAGCTGTTTTGGGGCGGGGTTGGGTTAAATTTGATTTGTCCAAAGAATCGATGGCAGAAGCACTTAAAATTCTGCGCACAGAGGCTCAATTAATGTGGCGGAGCCAAGAGAGTTGTTGCTGGCCATAAATGCTGATAAAGTTAATTAACATAGGGGGGTGGTGGGCGGAGGTGGTGCGGGGCATGCAAATCGTTAGATGCTGACTCAGTCGTAATGAGCATGCCTGCACAGTGGGCAAAAAACCATTGACTTGTGGTTTGTTCTAATTGGACATATCCAATTCCAAAGGGATTGCGCAAGCTCCAATTAGAGGGCATATTTACAAGCGATTAAATTCATTATTTATTAACAATTCAATTGATTTCTTGGGAATAAAATGAAAACCACAGTGCAAGGGTATATATAGCTTACATAGATATATAGACTTGTTGCCTTTTGGGGAGGGGACAAAATACAAGTTGGGATAATGGTAAACATATAAAGGGCAAACTTTTTGACCAATATCAGTTTACACTATCCCCACCCCCACACACACACACACACACACACACACTCTAACACGAAGTTAGAAGAAAGAGGGAGAGAGAGAGGGAGGTTAAAAGCGAACAATTAAAAAAGCACATGGTTTTCAGACGATGGCGCCACCTCGAAGACCTTTCGAATTTTGGGGGAATTCCTTTACGGGGGGCAGCCCATGTGGACACTCACCTGGGCCAGTTGATCCTCCGCCGCCTTGCGCTGCTCCGGATTCGGATCAATAGTTGCGCGCAACAGTTCCGTGAGTTTTTGTGCCTCCATTTTTGCAACTTATGAGTGCTTTTCCACGTTTCGCCGGTCTTTCTGCTGGCGGTCACCTTGCGCCCACTGTGCACCCGCTGCTTTTCCTGGTTTTCGTGCTCGATATGTTTGCCGCACAAGGTGCTCCTGGCTCCAAATGTGGGGGGAGGGCCCAATAGCAAATCACTTTTCCGGAGGAAAAAACGTGGAAAAGGCTCCACACACACGCACACACCGCCGAAATTCGCGAGACGAACGAAGCGTGAAGAAGAAGCAGTGCCTGCTGTGTTGAACAGCGTCGCGGAGAAGGGCGCGAACAGTGCTGGAAATTACTTATTTAGCTTTTACCGCCAAATCTGGCTAGTATAAATATGAATATTTGGCTTTTTTATATTATAAGGAGTTGGGGTATTCAATTAGTTAAAATCATAAGCAAACTAAGTTTAAAGTAGATCAAAAACATATTTGTATTAATTAAGTTATTTTATCTAAAACGTCATATGGTGGCCAATTTTCGGTGGTAAAGACAGCTGTTTGTCAATGCGAGCGATCTGGCATCACTATAACGGAGAGGGGCTGCCACTTGAGTAAACAATAGTTATTTACCTTTAGTATAAAGTAATTTTTTTACTCAGCAATGGCAGATTTAGTGCGCGGAGAAGCCTCTGAATCGGATGAGGAGCTGCACGACAAGCACAAGGTGATTTTGGTTTTATAACATTAACAATTTCTATAATATAACATTTATATCAGATTTTTGCAGCTGAAGTTTCGGGTGAAGCCTCCGAGGATGATGACGATGAAGACATTTACGAACAACAAAAAAGTAACAGCCAGGTGAACAGCACGGCCTCAATTTATAGGAATAATCTGCTCCAACGCAAACTAAGTAGAATTGCTATGCTTTCTATATACGTATGTTTACTACCATAGTTTCCCTTTTCAGTTGAAAACAACATTGCCATTTGGAGATCTCTCACCGCTTTCACTCGCAGCTTTGTGCTAAGTGCCTCCAAACAACTGGTGACCACTGACCAGATGCTCATCAAATCACAGCTCAATCTTCAGTCGGCACACACATCTCTCCAGCTGGCCCAGCGGAACGCCCATGAACTGCAATCCAGGGTGGCTGCCGTCATGACCAGTAGCTTCCTGCCACACATAAACACCCAGAAAGCTAGCTGACTTAAGACCTATGCTGTATTTGCTGATAAACGATCAAATCTAGGCTAATCCTCTGTATCAGAATTGGGCGCATAGAGCTGAGTGTTAGGCGATGGCTCCCGTGGAACGTAGGTGTTCTGAAAGCACCGGGAGAAGATGGTTCGCATCTTGTTCGGTCGTTCAGGCGACTGGGGTATGGTTTCATCCTCGTCAGAGGGTATTTCCGGAGGCCTGGCACCCGGCGAATCGTCAGTGTTGACAAAGCAAACCTCCGTGCTGCTCGGAGGTACGGGAGCAGGTGCCATGGTGGCCTCCAAAGCGGCATCCGCAGCCGCCAGCATGAGGGCCTCCTCTTCCGCCTCGTCTTCAATCAAAACCACGGTGTCCACTTCGGCGAGGATGCGTGGCTGCTGGATAGAAGGAGCCTCCGAGTGTCGAAACTGGAACAGAGGAGTTTCTAAGCTGGTTTCCAACTGGCTGGTTTCCTCCACTCTTCGTTTAGGCTGCACAGCAGCAGGTTCGGAAGAACTGCTCTTGCGTTTGCTGGCGACAGTTGGACCCGGAGTGCTGCTCTTCCGCTTCGAAACAGCCGCTCGGTCATATTCGTCCTGCAGTGTCAAATCTCTTTGACAATATTCCTCCGAGAAGCTCACGTCATCGGGCGACAGCGTGGACATGATCAGCAAGCACTCAATCTCGCCATGCTTCTTGATCTTAAGCAGAAACGGTTTGCCCGCCTCGTCGAACTCCAAAGTGAGCGAAGCATTCAAACACTCGGCGAACAGAAGAAAGGCTCGGAATTCCTTGATGCAAAAAGTGATGACCGTTTCCTTGGTCACCAGGTACTGTTCGAATTCACTGGGCTTAAGCTTTAGCTGTGTGCGCATGAATTTATCGTTCACTCGGGCGCCTTCTATATAGTTTTTGGCCACCACACTGCCAGAGTTTGCCTCCAGGGTTAGCTCCTCCTCCGTGGTGTTGAAGTTGTTGGAGATGTCCATGAACAGCTTGTGATCGCCGCGGATTCTGAAAGGATAGATTTTGGAATGTGAAGTTAATTCCATTGTAGAAAGTATCTTTAGTAGAAGGGAAGACAAGATGAACTACTTAATCAAATCTACAAAAAGCTTTTAAATAGACTATAATGCAAAATGTGCATTGTTTTTGGGGTTGATTTGTGATAAAAGGTTTTTATAATTATATATTATAATTTTCAAATCTAATATCATGTTCAAGATCACAGTATAAACCTACATGTTTGCCATCTTATCGGTGTTGATGTTTGTGTTGATATTTTGATCATCAATGATGGATATGGTGGCCTCTTTTGTGGTCTCCAGTTTGCAGCGGAGATTCACTTGAAGGTTGGTTTGGTTGTCCAGTATATTAAGTTCACAGTACTCCACCTGAAATAAAATATATGTTTACAGATTACCAGTCCTCATGTGGAAACCCTCAACCAAAAAAACCTCGTTCATGTTGCGAAATACGGCCAGGCATCCCTTCATGGATATCTTGCAGTAGAAATCCGAGTTGGGGGGCATGTCAAACACCTCAAACATGGATCTTCTGAAGGATATGCTGCCCACCGCCGATTGAGTGGCATTAATGGCCCTCATTTGCAATCCCTGTTGGTCAATCTCGATGAACATTTCCTTGCCCATCTTGGACAGCGATTGTACGGCTTTGGCAATGACTAAAAAGTTAATTGGGATATTACGAAATGATATATAAATTTCACAGGTCTTAAAGCATACCCCTTGCATTGCTGCCCTCTAAAGTGTATTTCATTGGCAATATTTGCGTAAATTATTGGTCATGAAATACGCGCTGAAATTTGTAAACAAACAATTAGAGTGACCGTCTACCCTTAAGAAGTAAAATACCAAGAAAATATTTATCGGCTATTTTGGTATTTTCCATAACGATTGTCTAGATTGTCTGGTCACACTCGTCACAGGCCGGTCGAACGCCACATCAGTTCTAAATTTAATTAACAAAAACTGGGCTAAAACCAGCTAAAAACTGGTGGAAAAGTGAGTTTACCTGCGCGGGAATACCTAAAGTTCTTCTGCATTGGCCCAATCGTAATGTGCGTTGTGCAAATCGCGTAGAAAACGAGTGAACACAATGTTACGTGCCGTGGCTTTGTGTGTGTCTGTGGTGCTCCTAGCACTACAATATACGCCGATATCTGGCGAATCGAGTCAGAGCTATCCCATCACCACGCTGATCAATGCCAAGTGGACGCAGACGCCTCTGTATCTGGAGATCGCCGAATATCTGGCCGATGAGCAAGCAGGTCTTTTCTGGGACTACGTTTCGGGGGTGACCAAACTGGACACGGCTCTGAATGAATATGGTTTGTTTAAACAAATGATGGGGAAACCCGCATTTTAAGGCTGCAGATAAAACTTTATCAGATCTTACTTTAAAGTCATGTTGGGCAGTTGAGCGAATATCCGGAATTTTTACTTTTCTGGTTATTTTTAACTGATATACTTTAAAGGTATCAGTCTATAAAATAAGAATTGCACTGTAAAGAGTAATTTAAATAAAAAGTGTTTAAAGTTTCAACTCCAAAAGCCTTATAAAGTGATTTTCCATTTAAAAACTGTATTATTTTATTAATTATATTTATTTTTTCTAGAAACCGAGTCGCAGCAGTACAATGTCGCTTTGGAACTGGTCAAGAATCACGTCAGTTCGCCCCAGCTGCCGCTGCTCAAGTTGGTAGTCTCCATGCACAGCCTGACGCCCAAGATCCAGACCCACTTCCAGTTGGCCCAGGAGCTGAGGAGCAGTGGCTCGTGTCAGGGCTTCACTTTCGCCCAGGTTGGCTCCGAACTAGCCTGCAGTTTCAACGAGCTGCAAAAGAAATTGGCTATGCCATTGGCCAAGGACAGTTTGGATGCTGTCATCGTCACCTACAGCTTTGATCACATTTTCCCCGGCAGTGAGAACAACACACGCACTGTTGTGTTATACGGCGATTTGGGCAGCTCACAATTCCGCACCTATCACAAGTTACTGGAAAAGGAGGCAAATGCTGGCAAGATTCGTTATATCCTGCGTCATCAGTTGGCCAATAAGGACAAGCGACCAGTGCGCCTATCGGGCTACGGCGTGGAACTGCATCTGAAGAACACGGAGTACAAGAGCCAGGACGATGCACCCAAACCCGAAGCGGGCTCCACTTCCGATGAGGATCTGGCCAATGAATCCGATGTTCAGGGCTTCGATTTCAAAGTCCTCAAGCAGAAGCATCCTGCTCTCAAAAGAGCTCTGGACCAATTGCGTCAGCGTCTGCTCCAGGGAAACGATGAGATTGCTCAACTCAAAGCCTGGGAGTTCCAGGACTTGGGCCTCCAGGCCGCCGCTGCCGTGGCTGAAATTCAAGGGGATGAAACTCTGCAAATTCTGCAATACACGGCCCACAATTTCCCCATGCTGGCACGGACTCTGCTGGCCCACAAAGTGACGGATGGCCTGAGGGCGGAAGTGAAGCACAACACGGAAGCCTTTGGCAGAAGCTTGAATGTGGCTCCACCAGATGGTGCACTCTTCATCAACGGACTCTTCTTCGACGCCGACACCATGGATTTGTATTCGCTGATTGAGACGTTGCGCTCGGAAATGCGTGTTCTCGAGAGCCTGCACAGCAACAATGTGCGCGGTAGCCTGGCCAGCTCTTTGCTGGCCCTGGATCTTACGGCTTCCAGCAAAAAAGAGTTCGCCATCGATATCCGGGACACTGCTGTGCAGTGGGTTAACGACATTGAGAACGATGCTCAGTACAGGAGATGGCCTTCGTCGGTGATGGACCTCCTGCGTCCAACTTTCCCCGGAATGCTGCGCAATATCCGCAAGAATGTGTTCAACTTGGTTTTAGTGGTGGATGCACTGCAGCCCATCGCCAGGAGTGTGATCAAGCTGTCCGAATCGTTTGTCATCCATCAAGCTCCCATTCGCTTGGGTTTGGTCTTCGATGCGAGGGCTGCCAGCAAGGATAATCTTGAGGATTACATAGCCATCTCGTGTGCCTTCAACTATGTGAGCCAGAAGAAGGATGCCCGAGCTGCTCTGAGTTTCCTCACGGACATCTATGCAGCCGTGGGTGAGACCAAAGTGGTCACCAAAAGGGACATTGTAAAGCAACTGGCCAAGGAGTTTACTACCCTAAGCCAAAGCAAAGCGGAGGAGTTCCTTGAGGAGGATTCCACCTACGATTATGGCAGAGAGCTGGCTGCGGAGTTCATTCAGCGGCTGGGTTTCGGCGACAAGGGACAACCTCAGGCTCTGCTGAACGGTGTTCCAATGCCCAGCAACGTTGTGACCGCTGACAGTGACTTCGAGGAGGCCATCTTCACCGAGATTATGACCCACACTACCAATCTGCAAAAGGCAGTGTACAAGGGAGAAATGACGGACAGCGATGTGGCCATTGATTACCTGATGAACCAACCGCATGTGATGCCTAGATTAAATCAGAGGATTCTCAGCCAGGAGGATGTTAAATATCTGGATGTAAATGGCGTGGCCTACAAGAATCTCGGTAATGTTGGTGTCTTAAATCGTCTGTCGAATCGTGACATGACCGCCACTTTGATGGAGAATCTTAAATACTTTGGCGGCAAGAAGTCAACGGAGCTGATTGGCCGATCATCGCTGCAGTTCCTCACCATCTGGGTATTTGCCGATCTGGAGACAGAAGAGGGTCGCGCACTGCTGACCCATGCCCTGGAATATGTCCAGAGTGGAGAGAGTGTGCGACTGGCGTTCGTTCCGAACACAGAAAGCTCTTCCGGATCGGACAAGCGGAATCTTAACCGTCTGGTTTGGGCCGCCATGCAAAGTCTGCCGCCAACTCAAGCCACCGAGCAGGTTCTCAAGTGGCTGAAGAAACCAAAGCAGAAGATTGAGATACCCTCGCAGTTGGAGGATATCCTGGGATCCACAGAGCTGCACTTGAAGATGTTGCGGGTATACTCGCAGCGTGTGCTGGGTCTGAATAAATCCCAGCGATTGGTCATCGGCAACGGACGCCTCTACGGTCCTCTGTCCTCGGAGGAAACCTTTGATAGCGCCGATTTCGCTTTGCTGGCCAGGTTCAGTTCGCTGCAGTATGGCGATAAGGTGCGCCAGGTGTTGAAGGAATCCGCACAGGATGTCGGTGAGGAGTTCACAAGCGATACTCTGGTCAAGCTCTATGCCAGTTTGCTGCCAAGACAGACTAAGACACGTTTTAAGCTACCCACGGATCTGAAAACCGATCATTCGGTTGTGAAACTTCCACCCAAACAGGAGAAACTGCCGCACTTCGATATTGCCGCCGTTTTGGATCCCGCCTCGCGTGCAGCCCAAAAGCTTACGCCCATTCTGATTTTGCTCCGTCAAGTGCTGAACTGCCAACTGAATTTGTACTTAATTCCCGTGCCCCAGCACAGCGATATGCCCGTGAAGAACTTCTACAGATATGTTGTGGAGCCAGAGGTTCAATTCGAAGCGAACGGCGGTCGATCCGATGGTCCGTTGGCCAAATTCAGCGGGTTGCCAGCCAATCCTCTGCTGACGCAGCAGCTGCAGGTTCCCGAAAACTGGTTGGTGGAAGCTGTGCGGGCAGTTTACGATTTGGATAACATCAAGTTGACCGACATTGGTGGACCCGTGCACAGTGAATTCGATTTGGAGTATCTGCTGTTGGAGGGTCATTGCTTTGATGCCGCCAGTGGTGCGCCACCCAGAGGACTGCAGTTGGTGCTGGGCACCCAGAGTCAACCCACTCTGGTGGACACCATTGTGATGGCCAATTTGGGTTACTTCCAACTGAAGGCCAATCCCGGAGCTTGGTCGCTGCGCCTGCGTGATGGAAAATCCTCGGATATTTATGCAATAAGTCACATTGAGGGAACCAATACCCATCACACGGCGGGATCAACTGAAGTTCAGGCATTGATAACCTCGCTACGATCCCATGTCGTCAAATTGCGAGTGTCCAAGAAGCCGGGCATGCAGCAAGCAGAACTTCTAGCCGATGACAACGAACAGGCAGCGCAAACCGGCATTTGGAACAGCATCGCCAGCAGTTTTGGTGGCAGCAATGCTAATCAGCCAACTGCGGATGAGGATACGGAAACCATCAACATTTTCTCCGTGGCATCGGGTCATCTCTACGAACGTCTGCTGAGGATCATGATGGTGTCGCTGCTGAAGCACACGAAATCGCCCGTTAAGTTCTGGTTCTTGAAGAACTACCTGTCGCCGCAGTTCACGGACTTCCTGCCGCACATGGCCAGCGAGTACAACTTCCAGTACGAGTTGGTCCAGTACAAGTGGCCGCGCTGGCTGCATCAGCAAACGGAAAAGCAGCGGACCATTTGGGGCTACAAGATCCTCTTCCTGGACGTGCTCTTCCCCCTTAACGTGAGAAAAATCATATTCGTGGATGCCGATGCCATTGTGAGAACCGATATCAAGGAGCTTTATGACTTGGATCTGGGAGGAGCGCCATATGCCTACACGCCCTTCTGCGATTCGCGCAAGGAGATGGAGGGCTTTCGTTTCTGGAAGACCGGCTACTGGCGAAGCCATCTGATGGGCAGGCGCTACCACATTTCCGCTTTGTATGTGGTGGATTTGAGGCGATTCCGAAAGATTGCTGCGGGCGATAGGCTGAGAGGTCAGTATCAGGCACTCAGCCAGGATCCGAACAGCTTGTCCAATCTGGATCAGGATTTGCCCAACAACATGATCCACCAGGTGGCCATCAAGTCGCTGCCCGACGATTGGCTTTGGTGCCAGACGTGGTGCAGCGACAGCAACTTCAAGACCGCCAAGGTGATCGATCTGTGCAACAATCCGCAGACCAAGGAGGCCAAACTCACCGCCGCCCAGAGGATTGTGCCCGAGTGGAAGGACTACGATGCGGAGCTGAAGACCCTGTTGGCTCGCATCGAGGACCACGAGAATGCGCACGGCAGGGACTCCATTGCCGATGATTCGTCTGATGATTCAGTCACCACTGTGACGCCTTCTCATGAACCCAAACACGGCGAGCTGTGATCAACGCGTAGTTAAATCAACACGATTAGTGAATTTAAGTCAGATATCGATGGATCCACACTGATTACTTAGCTAAGTCCCATCCCCCGACATAACGACTAAAAACACATTTGTACATTTTAATTAGAACTTAATGCGATTGATAACGTAAACAACAAAACAGCTCACTAAAGTCTGAATTGTTCCTTTAACTCGATTTCAAAACGATTTCCTTGTCTTGCATTCCAAGCGCTCTGGCCACTAATTGAATTAAGCTGAATTTGAATGTCATTAAATTGTATACACTCGGAAGGCGCCTTTAAGTTGAAAAGTTTTTCAAATGTATTAAAAGTTGGAGTGAATAGTATCTAAAAGTGTAACGTGTTTTATTGGGAGATCAGGCAGCTTTAACCCAAAAAGCTTTCGCTTTTGCATACTTTTGCAAGGTGGCAACGCCAAATTCAAATAAAATGAACGAAAACTCGGTATGTTTTTTTATTTTGTTTATCTTTATTTCAAATTATAGTTTGAATCCTCTTGCGTTTGTATCTACATTAGAAAATTAATTAATAATTGTATTATAATGCTGAACTACTTTATTTTTTAGCTCTTAATATGAAATCTTCTTTATTTTAGCAATTTATTAGTAAATTTTAATTTGGTATTTTGTAAGGCAGATAGTGCAGTCCAAAGAAGGGGATCTTTATCATATTTATTTTATTATTTTAGTTTGATCTGCTTCTCTTATTTTCAATCTATTTTCTCAGCACTTGCGTTGACAATTCTATTCCCACTATTTTAATTTAGCCTGTCTAATATATAGTTTTGAAATTGTATTCTTCACTTCAGTTTTCGAACTAACGCTGAGTGTAATATAAGATAGTTAATTAAAGCTTTCATTTTATTCAATTTGCTCAATATGTTAGTTATATATGTTTTGGTTCAGACTACGCAACTGTTTTCTATTCGCTTTGAACTAGATCATAAGTATTTAAGGGAAATATATAGTTAACATATTAGTTAGGGATCGCTTCTCGATTAAATAATATAAAAAAAATGCTTCTGTAGAAAGGATTTTCCTTGTCAGTTTGAAATTTGTGTATTTTTTATGTGTATTGTATTGTATCTGTATCTGTATCTGTATCTGGTGTATCTTGCGCTCCTCTTACTTGCTAAACATTGACGAAACTACAATATTAGACAGTTCGTTTCTGTATCTGCATCCGTAGTCTTTGTTATCATCAGTTTAAAATGGTATAGGCATATTTGAATGAATGCTTCCCAGTTTCTTGAGTTCGATTCGTTGTTGATTTCTATATAGGTATATTGCTTTAATCCAGGTGTTTATACATATCCTCCAGCTGCGGCTTAAAGTAGCTCTTTAATTGCGGTCTCTTGGCCTTGAATGTGGGCGTCAGCAATCCGTTTTGGACCGAGAATGGATCCGGATGCAGATACACATCTTTTACCTAAAATTGTGTATGCATTATACAATGTTGTCAAGTTGCTATATAGTATTATCCACTTACCTGTTCGAATGACTTGAGTCCACTCTGTTTGCCCCAGTTGAGCATGTCGTTCATGATCAGTTCCTTGACATTCTTATTATTGCACAGGACGGAGAGTGTGCCGCGTACATTGTTCTCCGTGGCCCATTGCTTCAGTACATCGGTATCAGGTACAACAACAGCGATAATGCAGCTCTATGAAGGGTTCAAAAATTACAAAAATTAGTTTTTTAATTTCTAACCTTATACCTAAAATTACTTTGTACGCATTTCTATGATTTTTATATTTTAGAAGCACAATAAGAAATATTTCGTCTATCACTTTTATATTAAATGTAATTTATTCATTTGTTTGTAAGACAATTTAAAGTTGCTACTCTCATCCGCTTAAACTATGAACCTTGCTGAGTTTTATTTTTTTTTAGGATCTGAACATTGGATTGAAGTTTATTACTCATACGTTCTGTTGCCTTTAATAAATATATGTATCCTGACATTACGTGGCGTATGAGTAATATTTACGAAAACTTTGAGTGCGTTGCGCAACCCAGATTGCGCAGCTTGGGTTCCTTGTAATATTATGGTGGTAGAAGACCGAGAGTCTTAAGATTTTATTGAACACTTAAATTATTTCTCATTTGCATAGTACTTAAAATGGCATGATAAATGGTATACTTTTATTTATAGTTTATATCTAATGTATTTTTAATTCATAAAATCAACCCACCTTTAAGCTCTCTCCATAAACATAGACTTGATTAACGTATTGACTGAGCGTGTAGATGTTCTCGATTTTCTCGGGCACTATGTACTCGCCCTGGCTGAGTTTGAAGATGTGTTTGCGGCGATCGATGATCCTCAGAGTTCCATTTGGAAGCCACATGCCCACGTCGCCGGTGTGATGCCAGCCCTCGGAATCGATGGCCTCCGCCGTCTTTTCGGGATCCTTATAGTAGCTAAAGAAATAGTAAATTGATTTAGGAAAGAGAATTCAATGGATATAATGGATATACCCACCCATGGAACACATTCGATCCTCGCACACACACCTCCCCCGTGTTTTGGTTGGCAAAGTACTCCATCTCTGGGACATCCACCAGCTTGACAGCGTTGCAGGAGACGGGTGGTCCCACATGGTTGGGCACATGATCACCCTGAACGGTGAGGGTTATGGCTCCCGTGCACTCCGTCTGGCCATATCCCTCGAGCACCAAACAGCCCAGGGCACAGCGCATGAAGGTGAGCACATTGCCGGCCAGCGGAGCCGAACCGACGACCATGAGCCGCAGATTGCCGCCAAAGGCCTGATGCACCTTCTTGAAGACCAGCTTGTCCCAGCAGCCGTTCCTCCGCAGGACACCCCTGGCGATCTCCTTCTCCTTGGCCCGCATGGCCATGTTGAAGAGGCCCCGCTTCAGTCCGGAGGCGGCTATTTCAAGCTGGATCTTGTCGTAGACGCGATTCAGGAGTCGCGGCACTGCCGGCATCACCGTTGGCTTCAGCATCTTCAGGTCGTTCGTGAGCTCCTTGATGTCGCCGGAATAGAAGCCCACACAACCGCCCACATAGTACATGCCATTTTCACAGCACCGCTCGAACATGTGGGCGAGGGGCAGGAAGGAGACCATCACATCGCCGGCCCGGATGCGATGGTCGCCCATCTGCAGGATCACAGAACAGACGCCGGCCACCACGTTGCCGTGGGTGAGCATCACGCCCTTGGGATTGCCCGTCGTCCCCGATGTATAGCACACCGTGCACAGATCCTCTGCCGTCGGCGCAATCTCCGGATGATTGCCCTTGGCGCCCAGTTTCTCCACATCGATGAACGAGAAGATCTGAATGCCGCGACTGCGGGCTCGTTCCAGGGTCGTCTGGCGGATGGGCTTGATGGCCACTATGATCTTCAGGCTGCGTGGCGCCTTTTCCAGCAGCATGGCCGCCTTGCCGTCGTCCTCCACGATCACAATCGCCATGTCCGTCTGGCGGATGATGAAGGCACAGGCATCGGGACCCAGGGTGTCGTACAGTGGCACCACCACCAGCGAGAACGAGTAGCAGCCCTGCTCATACAGGATCCACTCCGGTCGGTTCTGCGAGTATATGCCAATCAGCTGCTTGGGCCGGGCTCCCAGCGCCAGCATTCCGGCGCCAAAGTTCTTGGCTCGCAGCAGGGCCTCGTCATAGTTGATCCACTAAATTGGAGATACATTTAAATAACATTAAAATTGTGATTTTTACTTAAACTTAATTAAATATATTTAGGTAGCCTCAGAATAAAACTATGAAATGTCATTGATAAGTTTTATTATCCCACAGGTAAGTAGGTCAAAATATGGAAAGGAAATCTTTACTTTAATTAATCTTTACTTTTCATTATCTCTTACCACTTTTTAGATAAAATCTCACCTGGTATGGGGATGTCAGGGTTTCTCGCCAACCGAGACACGGTCCATTGTTGGAGGCGTAGGCGCCCTCGCGGAACGTCTGGTACAAGGTGCGGACATTCTCTGTGATGTAGGACACGAACTTTCCGTTCTTCGACTCCTTGTAGAACTTGGAGACGTGTATTTGTTCTGGACCCTGCAATGCGAGTGAGGTGACCCCGAAAGAAACAGAGAAATCGAGGACATGCAATGAGTGAGAGACGTTTTGAGAGATATTGGGATAGAATTCAATGGGATACAATATATACAATCAATAGATCAATGGAGTATGTGTTTAAGATCTATGCGCGGCATATTGCATGTATTAAATTAAATTGTTTGTCTTGAGTTAAAAAGTATAAATCAAATTCATATATATCAAGCATAAACATTTTCTGGTTTTAAATATCACCTTAGTTTTTTCATGTTTTATGTTTATTTAAAGGTAATTGCTTAAAAGGAAATACAAAACTTATTCATTATAGTTTGAATTACGATAAGCATCAATTAGCGTAGTTCAAAAATTGCCCTTAAGCGGAAAACGATAATTTTAATTATTTTTTATATTTTGTAGACCTCTTCCGCCCTAAACTCAAGCTTTTATAGCACATCACTCAGCCCATTTCACTTTGTGTGTGTTTATTTTTGGCTACTTGCACAATAAATCACACCCAGTTGTTAGAATAAAATCAATAACCATTTAAAATTATAAACGTAGCCGATCGCTATGATGTATGGTTTATTTTGGGGCTAGAGACATAAACCTATCACTCGACGGGATTTCAATTGGACGCCCGAGAGCAGAGTAGTACCTATAGAGCACTTCCTTTATGGTAAACAGCTGCGAATGAAATTATCGCAATGGTCGAAAGTGTTGATGTACGAGAACGAATATCAAAATACACTACGATGGGGGAATAATTTTTTTGAGGGGGTGCTGGGAGGAGGAACCTAAAAGTTAGTTTATTTGTTTTTACTGCCTGATTTTAATGAGCAAAATGTATTTTCAACTATAATTTTTTTTCGCAGATTAAAGTGCTTTCCGAATTAATTTTGTTTATATTAAATTGATGACGCAAGTCTAAGGGGGAAAGTGTTAGTTTCAAGTGCATACCCCGAGGGGCACATGGAGCCTACCCTGTGGTGGATATCTTGACGATGATCATATATGATCTAGCCCACGAAAATGTAAGAGACGGTAAACAAAAATAAAAGAAGCAAAATAAAGTTTATATTAGTCATTGCTTAGTTAATCTGGTGTTAGGAAGGCATTGTTTTATATTTTTCTAGGGGCATTTTTCCTCAAAGACTGTTACCTTAAGCACATCGCTCTGATTGCTTAGCTCGATGGGCACTCGTATACTGGTAATTTGGCCGCAACAAGACATGTTTTCCACTCTGTTTTATTATCACTTTTTGGTTGATTTTATTTT